CATTTTGTTGATTAATACATTTATTTAATGTATTAGTTTTTATTGTTTTTGTTATGAAATAACAGTAGAAAGTTTCTGTTCTTACTATTTCGTTGTTTGGGTATGAGAATTTAACTCATCAACACTTTCATCTTTTTCAATAACTATCTCATCTTCTATTTCTTTTTTTTTCTAGTATAACTACAAAGTTCATTACCTTTTTCTTTTATACTTTCTTTGTAATTTTTATAAATTTTTGAGAATTTATCTGTTTATAATTCTTCAAGTTTTTTTGTTAAATTTTTTATCTGTTTATGTTGTTCATTTTCGTTTATGAACTCATTTAATAATTTAGTAAATTCTTTTGTTCTTTCTTGAATTGTACATTTTGAGTAACTGTATCTTAATGAAGTATTTATCAGGATACAGTCTCATTTTTCTATTCCATTTCTAGTTTTCTTATATAAATACTGAAACAAGATAGAACTAATAAACAAAAAATGATTTTTAATAAAAAAAGAGTATTTAAAAAGAGAAGTTCTGTCATAAAATACAATTCTTTTTCAAAAGAAATGAAAAAGGCTTTGTTATTTAGATAAATAATTTATTTTTATTAATAAAATTGATTAAATAAAAGAAAAATAAAAAAAATACAAATTAGAAGAAAGAAATTTGTTGGAAACAATAATCAGGAACATTAATACGTTGTTTTAATTTAAGACATTGTTTAAAACAATTATTTCCAAATAAAGTAATAGAACGTGGCAACGAAATATATTCTAAAGAAGTACAAAAAGCAAAAGTGTTTGAATGAATTTCTTTTAAATGTGAAGGTAAATCAATTGTTTCAAGACATTTACAATTATAAAAACAATTTGAGTTAATAGAAGTTAATGTAAATGGTAAATTAATTTCTTTTAATGAACAACAATTAAAGAAACAATTTTGAGGAAGTTTTTGAAGATATGGTGATAATAAAATTGTTTGTAATGAACAACAATTTTCAAATACACTTTCATTTAATTGATGAATAAATTGACTGTTAATTACTGCTTCTAATGATTCACAATTTTCAAAACAATTTTTTGGTAAAACATGTAATTGTTCATTTATAATAATTTCTTTTAAATTTTCACAATAACAAAAACAACCTTCTCCAAGAGATGTTAATGATATTGGTAATTCAATTCTATCTAATCTTATACAATGTGCAAAACAATGTTCTCCTAATGATTCTACAGAAGAATGAAAAATAACATTACGAAGTTGTGTAGAATACTCAAAACAACTAAGTGGTAATAATTGAAGTAATGGAGGGGTTTGTATCATTTCATTAAAAGGACATTTAAGAAATGAATATTCTTTTATTGATACAAGAAGAGAAGGTAACTCAACATTTTTTAAAGAATAACATTCATTAAAACATTCTCTTCCAATACTTCTTATTGATTCAGTCATTTTACAACTAGTTAATGAAGTACATCCTTTAAAACATCTCTCTCCTAATGAAGTTACTGAAGAAGGTATATTAATTTCTTTTAAACTACAACACCCTTCAAAAACTGCACTTTGTAAACAACGAACTCTTGTTGGAATTGTAATGGAAATAAGATCTTTTCTCATAAAGAAAGCTTTATCTCCAATAATGTTAGTTTCTACTGGAATTAAATCACCATGAAAATGAATATAATTTTGAGTTAATTTAATACTACGAAATATATTTCTCTCAGGTGAATATCTTAATGCTTCTCCAATATGAACAGGGAATAGCCATATGAATTTATTTGCTTTTGGAAGTCTAATATCTTTCTTTGTAAATAAAAATTGAGTAGTTACTTCTTTAAATAAAAGAAATGATTTAATTGGATTATAATGATATTTTGAAAGTATTTTAGAGAATCTGTTATTAATTTGTGAATAATTCTTATAGTCCTGTTCAGTCTTTAAATATTTACTAATTTCAAATAATAATGATTCTTCAAATTGATTTGACAGTGTTCTTTTTTTAAAAATATAAATTATTTTCTTCTTCTCTTCATTAATTTGTGTCGTCTCAATAACTGATGACACTGTAGAAGATTGTTTTTGAGTTTGTCTTTGTATTAGTCGTAACTCTTGTGGGTCAATAGAAGATGATTCTGAATCACTTACTGACCCTTTTGAGTCATAACACCTCTGATTACTTTTTTTAATACACAACGAAGACCCTAAATTGGTGTTTTTTTATTTGATGAAACAGTTTTAGTTGAACTACTTCTTTGTGAAATCATTGTAAAGTAAATTAAAGGTCC